CATGGACGGCTTGGAACCCTGAATGGGTGGGTGCCTGTGCACTGCCTGTGCACAGCCCATCTTGTTTTCTGGTGAGGTCTGTGGGTGAGTGGATGTGTCCTGCTCTGGGTGTGTCTGTGGTTGTCACCTCGCTGGGCCGTCTTCCTGAGTACAGATAAGGGCTGTCCCATTCCAGCCTTTTCCCATGGCAACACCCAAGGGCACACTCTCACAGAACCTGCAGCAGCTCTTGGCCACTCATGAATAAAAGAGGTGGGTGGAAGACTGGCTAAGTCTCACAGCCCCTGATTTTTCAGTCAATTGCCCAAATTACTGCATCTTCATTTTTTACAATTTAGAAAATGAGCCAGTGAAAATAATTTTGCAGTTATAGCCTTTTTTTGCTCTCACAGTAACTAATCTCACCATTGAAAGAAGGACCTAAAACGACTAAAGGAGGGAAAAAGAAAAATCTCTCTAGAGACTGTTAGATAATTCATGGGATTAATCGAATGCAAATGGTACACTTGCATATACACAGACCCCATTTTCCTAATTGGATGCTGAGTGGGTACTTTGCAGACTGAAAGGGTCATTTGTTTTGACTGATTGACTTTTTGAGGCTTTGGGGGGAATTAATATCTTGTACAGATGACTGCCTGTTCCCAGGACTCTGTACTGAGACAGCTCAGTGACTTATCCATTCAGTGCACTTGGAGTGTGTGCCATGCCTCTGCGCCTGCACACACGGGCGGGAGTGAACAAAAACTATTCCTCCTTTATGAAAGAAAACTTGAGCTGCTCCCTCAGGTCATCTTTACCTGGCTCAAAATAAGCTTTTGCTAAAAGAAAATTTTTTTTGCATAAACGCCACACACATTTGTTATGACCCAGGAGGGGAACATGTCTGTCTTCTGTGCGTGGGCTGGAGTAGGACTGGTCCAAATGTCCGGACCTGTCAGATGAATGACCCCTATGATCCCCAGCCCATCTGCTTTGTCCCTGCCTCTTTCAAAGGATCGGTGTGAGTTTTGGGTCTCTGGAGAAGGAGCTGCAGAATTTACTGGAAAGAGGCTCCTGGTTAACCCAATGTGTCCTCAGCCATCTCCCCCCCTCCCCCCCGTAACAGGCCCCTCTGCGGACCAGAAGGAAAATGGGACCGAACTCCTAGACCACCTCCTCCCTGGACTCAGGTCCCTAGAGGCTCTGAGGCCGGCAGGGCAGTTGGACTCAGGCCTAAGGGTCACTTCTGCCTCTGATTAGCCGGGTGACTTGCTCAAGGCCGTGACGCACGCTCTGAGCCAATGAGTGAGTGCTCAGCTTCCAGGCAAGGGAAGGCCTAGGGAAATGTCACCTCCAGTCACTGTCAGCTGACGTCACGCCATCCTGCGAGGCTGGGGTTCTCACGCCCGTTTCATAGAGAAGGTTTCAGGGAGCAACCACACTAGGGACAGACTCTGCCTCAGTGGCAGCACTGGGAAGCAGGGTCCTCACGTCCCCAGTCCCATTGTTTCCTGTGGATGTAATGAGTTAAGGCACCACACCCGCCCATCAAAAGGTTACTGGGTGTCTCTGGATCCCAGAGAGTCCTGTCACTTTATCCTTGGATGTTGCATTTGGAGGCGGAGAGGGAAGAGACTGCACAGGTCTGAAGGATGTCAGGGAAGTGCCAATTATTTGTGCGTTGAACTTGTTTTAAATTCAGACTTCCATCCAACAGCTTTCACATGTCTTTTGTGTCACAGAGGAGTCTTTGATCGTACCTGTTCATTGCAGGAAAATGAGACAGAAGTTAAATCTCCAAAAAGGGAGCTAGACAGACCCCTTAAGTCATAGCTGTTACCAGTGTTCCCTGAACTACATCTGCACAACTAATACTCGATTTGTGGTTCACTCTGCTCCATAGTTACCTTCCTCAGCAGTATTTCATGAACATTATATATATATATGAAGGACTTTGACCTTGAAAATGGGAAAGTGAAAGAAGAAGAAGAAAAAAAACACTTCTCTCCCAGACCAGGGCTGTAATTTCAATCATCTGAATGAGGTTGTATGGGACTTCCTGAGCCAGAAGCCTTACACTCATGGATGATATAGAAGATGCTGAAGGGCAGTGACCAGCTCTGGGCTGTCATCCATACAGTTCCTCTTTCCTGAGGGCTTCCTGTTGGTTGTAGCTTGCTCCAGAGCACTCTGGGGAATATGGATGTGAGACCCTATGAACGTCGTCCAGAACACCTGAGAAGGAGCTAAGCCTACCGTTGCAGGCAAACGCATAGCCTAATTGTGGGCTCCAGCCACACCTGAAGGCTTTGCAGTTGTGCTCCCTGTACATTGGCCCCCAGCTTTATGTCACCTTAAGTGGTACTTCCATCTGGGTCCTAATCAAAGTAGCCTTCTCCCTCCCCCCCAAACCCAACCTGGCATCACCGTCTTTATTTCCTCCTTGACACTTGGTATGCGTGCATGTGCATCACCTGTGTGTCCCCCGGGACAGTGAGCCTCCTGGAGAAGTGCAGTAGAGGATTTGGTCTCACCCACTACTCATTCTACCACTTAGCTCAGAACACACAGAGTGCACCTCCACGAAAGCTTGGTGGGGGAATGGATGGTCTTAACTGTTGAGCATATCAGATGGACGCCACCTGAGGTCATTTTGCAGCAACAGACACATCTGGTTACGTTAAATATAAAGTGGAATGTTGGTTGAGATACAGACGTATAATTGGTGAGCATCAATGATGGCTGTCGTAAGGCGAACGCAGTGTTGATGTCCGGGGTTCTCACTTCTAGTTGCTTGGTCCACTTATGGTGATGGTGTCATCTTGGTTGGAACTGGCGTCACACTGCCCAGCTACTTGTAAAGAGAGATGGAGGGGCAAAAAGGCTTCCAATTGTAGAGATAGGCAAACTTAACGCCTCTCCTAAAATATATTGTGTTCGTTTTAATATGTCATAGGAACCTGTTGGAGACCAGGAAGTACGTTAAATGTTTCCTTTCTGGAAAGTTGTGATAATCATGGATCTGTCCGACAGAGTGCAGTGAAAGTCCTAACCAGCGCCGTGACCTTGCCTTTGGTTGTGTGGGCTGGGGCTCACCTTCTGGGTTGGAAGCCTTAGGTTCCCTCATTACAGGCAACTACTCTGCTAAGCCCAGTCTTCGGCTGGCCCTACCTGGAGTCCCTCTCCCTCACAGCACTGAAGCATCTGCTTTGCTGCTGTTTTTAACCTCCTGCTTTTGAGTCACCTGAAGTTTTAAGTTTCAGTGAAAGTAAAAGGAAGGACAGCTTTGTAAGCAGAATGCTTGAGGACATAAGCTTTGCAAAGGCTGTTGAAGGGCAGCTTGGAGGGGAAAGAAATGCTGTCTCGGTCAGGGCGGTTACAGCCATGCTGCCACCAGAGACTGAGGAAAGGGGGTTGGGCAAAAGTTGGGACAAGCTCTTGCTTTTCTCAAGTGGCCTCTGGACTAGGAATTGGCTTGTTAACTTCCTTCAGAGGGTTTGGGTTAGGATTCCTGCCACACTCAGCAGGACCCTTCAGGTCTTCAGGTGGCTTCAGGGAAAGTTATTTCCTAGAGTTTCCCTGTTTTCCGCTTCGCTTCTTTACTGGGGGGTGGAACCCAGGGCCTTGGGCATGCCAGGCACGCCGTCTTACCACTGATCTCCATCCCCAGCCCTCCTGTCTTCATCCTAACTTGAAATTGATTGCAAAGCACTCAGCATTGCAATTCGGCACTGTTGTCTGCAGAAAGCTTTAATACTCCCAAGAGCTGGTGGACGGCCCTGCTGCCCATGCCCCCCACACAGCGTTCCTAAGCCTCACCTTGACCTTGGTATCTTCTTGAACCTGTGCGGAGGGTCCTGCCAGCCCAGCAGCTGCCCCGCTTTTCCTAATGAGGGCAGTACTTGCTTTTCAGCCTGCCCCCTTGTTTATAAAATATGCCAAGAGAACCAAACACCCCGCTGTTCCCAGTTCTTATTTACTTGCCCAAACCAAATGTTTATGTCCTTGAATGCTAAACTGGAAGGAAAAGAATTCCTCCTCGTGGGAAAGCTAGTCACCGGGCTCTTTCGAAGCAGTAGCTGCAGGCCTGCTTTTTAGTGACTTCAGCAGGAGGCGTCTGGACCAGCTGTCCACACTTCTTCGGAAAGGGAGGTCCTCACTCTGTAACTGTCACCTCCCAACACAGGTGCAGCATCCAGAGCTTGGCTTGATCCAGACCATAATTGAATATAAGCCAGGGCCTGAGGATGTAAGGAGAGGAAGAGAAAAACAAGCAATTTGCAGAGACAGTGTCAGTGGTTTGGGGTCATCTCTGCCCCGGGACAGCATGTCCAGCTCTGGGCTGGAGAGCCTGGGTGGTACTGGGTGGGGCATCCTAGCAGTAGCTTCGGAATCACCTAGGGAGCCTCCCCCAGGTGACTCAGAACCTGGCACTGTGTTTTCGGGATGCCAAGCAGGTGAATCTGATGGAACCAGATTCCAAGGACGCCCGGGATGGCCTCCCCTTGTGTGTGGGGTTTCCCTGCGTGCATCTGACTTGAATCACTTTATTAGGCTGGAGGGTTACACCACCTTTCCTTGTTTCTCTTTCTACGGGAGAGACATTTCCTTGTTAACTTTGCCAGATCACTTAGGAGAAGAGTGTAAATTGATGCCATTTATCCTGAAATGGACTGCAGGGGCCCATTGTTTATACAAGTGAAAGAAATTGTAACGAGGGGTATTTGGTCTGCTCCGCAAGGAAGAGGTGTCTCATTTTCCTGCCCTTCTCCCACGAGACACATTGGTTAGGACATGCTCACGGCACGGGGCCACTAGGTTTGCCAATGGGTTTCCTTGGTGTCATTGGCAAAGTTAGCATTGCCGTCAATAATAAAAGAACATGGCTCTGCAGATGTCCCCATCTTAGCCAGTTAGGTCATTGTGTCTGAACCCGTGTCGGTGAGTGGGATGCCAGACAGGGCACCAGTTCGAGGTGGGTTTTGCTGTTCTAATTGAAACCTGTTCACGTTTGTCAGTTGGTGGACGAGTAAGCCGTGAATTAAATTATACTCGCCAGAAGATTGGAGAAGAGGCTATGTTTAATCCTCAACTCATGATTCAGACCCCGAAAGAAGAAGGTGTTAATGTCCTGACCACAGAAGCGCTCCTACAGCACCTGGACTCCGCCCTCCAGGCTAGCCGAGTCCAGGTGTACATGTACAGCAGGTAAGACTGCGTCTGCCGGTGGGGCAGGTAAGGCAGGTGGGGCCAGGGGAAGCTTCTGGGTGGAGCCAGTCAAGAAGTCCCTGGAGTATTTAATAGTTGGCTAATAAAACTCTTTTTTCTAAAGGCAGAGGAGGATGGAGAGGGATTAAGAAGGGCTGAGATACACTGGATGAATTTGATCAAAGTACATTCTGTGCCTGCCTGTAAACATCACAGTGCAATCTATTTATGCTAATAAAAACAGCCTCTTTTTCTGGTGTGGTGCTTGGGATGGGATGGAACCCGGGGTCTCAGTGCTTTCTCCACCCTACCCTTCCCCCCGCCCCCCATCTCTGGTAGTGAAGCAAGTACATTGCAGGCTGAGTATGCCATATCCGAAATGCTTAGGACCAGAAGTGTTTTGGGTTTTGGGGGCCTGGGGTTATTTACATACAATTCATTTATGTTTCAAATACACCTCACATCATATGTTTAATATTTTGTGCATGAATCCAAGGTTGGGGCTGTGGAATTTCACACTTAGCATCATTCATGATGCCGCTCAAAAAGTCTCGGTACCGGAGCACGCCAGGTTTTAAATGCTCAGATAAGGGATGTTCCGTTGTTTTTTCTAAGTATTGTCAGTAAGTATCATGTCACTCTTTATCCCCAAATAAGTATGATTCTGATACAGTTGAGTGACTGGGCTGCCCGGGTTATTTTTCATTGCTTATGACTTTGTTACATTTTGAGTTACATTTTAAGTTAAATTTGCCTTTAGACAGTTTAAAAATACAACAAAAAAAGATGCAAACAAGAAAGACAAAAGAAGGGCTGGCAAAGTGGCTCAAATGGTAGAGCACCTGCCTCGCAAGCATGAGGCCCGGAGTTCAAACCCCAATACTGCCAAAACCAAAAACAAACAAACAAAAAAAGAAAGACAAAAGAAGTCAGTTGTCTTTACTTTGTACAGTTGGTGTGTCACAAAGTAAATAGGTAGGTTGTTGAGCCTCCCTGGGAATTCTTGCTGGCAGGTTGACTCTTGAGGTAATTTATACATACCTTTTTTTTTTCTTTTTTAAGTTAACTTTTATCATCATAACTAACTTAAAAATGCTATGGGTAGTTTGTGTATCTAAAGGGTCAGTTATTTCAGGTCAGGAATTACACATCTGGTCCATTGTTGTAGGGTAAGCTCCAATGTTTGTTAATTGACCGACTGCTGGCTGGTTAGATTGCTATCACTAAACCCCATTTCCAGAGGACCACTGGGTTGATTTCATCCAACCCCAGCCCCTTCTAGATTCTCTAGCATCTCTTAACTTAGGGGTTGAGAAAGTGTAGCATGGGCTACAACCAGGAGGAACCAGGGAAGAGAATAAAACCAAGTTTTACACTCGCCCCTGCCCAAACTCCCACTCCTAGATTTACCTGACTTGGGTGTGGGGGCCCATTCTAGCCTGCAACAGGACCCCAAGGATCACCACCACCTGGGACCAGTATCTCTAAAGTAGGTTTGTGATGCATGGGCTCTCTTGGGTGGTTCTCAGAAGATCAGGCAGGTATGAAAGGGCTTTGGACAGTGTAAGGAGGCATTTCAGCACTCTGTCCAGCCAGCCTGTGCAGCAAGGGTCTGTCCAGTGAAATGGTGACGTTCTTAAGCTAGGGTGGACTGATTGGAAGGAACTTTAAAGAACACATGCATGGGTCAACCTGCCCATTTTTTAGGTTGCTGCAGTGGTTATCCAAATTTTCCTGGTTATTAAATGACCAAGCCAGGTTTCAGATCCTTTCTTCTGGCCCCAAACCCAGTTAATGCACAGCAGTGTCCATCTCAAAAATGCACGAGTCTTAGAGTGTGTCCTTCGAATGACGTTGGGCACATGCTTGTGTTGAATACTTTCTGTTGATGTTAGACAGAATTAAAATGTGGTATGTGTGTGTGAACTATATATGCATACACAGCTTGCTGCTCAAGTGTTCCAGGTGTCAGGAAGGAGCAAGTGCTCTGGAGAAGGGGTCATTTTTTATACATGCTGGTCAAAGTTGGCTGATTAGCCCGAGAGACCAATCAAATAAGAAGAACTGGCAGGGAGTCTTATTTCCTTCCCTTGGGTTTCCCATTGCCAGCACACCTCCCAAAGTTCCTCTTCCTTTGCAGTTAGGCTTACCTGACCTCCTGACACATTCAGAGGCAAACTCTTCTAGAGATAATAAAACTCTGAATTCTTTTTTTTTTTTTTTTTTTTTTAACCATACTGGGGCTTGAACTCAGGGTGTTCACCTTGAGCCACTCCAGCCCTTTTTTGTGTTGGGTTTTTTGGAGCTAGGGGCTAGTTGCCTGGGGCTGGCTTTGAACTGTGATCCTCCTGATCTTTGCTTCCTGAGTAGCAAGGATTACAGCCGTGAGCAACCAGTGCTGGGCTCTGATTCATTCTTTGTATATTTAATGTTTTTGTAAAACAAGAACACAAGAGACTGTAAAACGGAAATCCGATGTAGCTGGCAAATGTCACTCATAACTTTCATGGTTCTAAGTAGGGCAGTGTGTTTGAAATACTACTTCCACAGAAAAACATTATCTTCCAATAAAAAAAAAGTGGGTACTGTTTTCTCCACGTGAAGATGTCAGTACCTCAGCAGCCTCACTCATTTCGTCCCTGCTTATTTAGAATTTGTGACGATTCAGCTGGGCTGCCTGGAAGTTGTTTAATGTATGTAGAAAAGTAGATCAATGGTGTAAACAAGATTATTGGGAGAACACTTAAGAAAAAGACTTTTCAAGTACTTTGGTAGGCATTCATTTACATAACCCCCACACGTTAATTACTTAGGATTGAGTATTATCTATTCATTAAAGCTAGCTTGCCGGCTCTGCACTTGGCAAAGGTTGGCTAGTTTTGACAGATGCTTACAAGTGATGGAAATTACGATTCTTTTTATATGTTCTGTTCTGATTTTGTACTCATTTCCTTCACTCCAGTAAGATGTCTGCCTCTGCTTTTCGTTCCAATAGGCACTGGAAATTGGAGCATTTGTGTTACAAATCAGGAGAACTTATCACAGAGACGGGTTACATGGATCAGGTACATTTGCTTGTTTGCAAAAAAAAAAAAAGGTCTGAGAAATTCTCAGAAACCCCCCCAGTGGTGAGCATTAACCTAATACCCGGTCTGTTTGTCTGTCTGTTTGTCTACGTTGACAGATAATAGAATATCTTTACCCTTGTTTAATTATCACACCTCTGGACTGCTTTTGGGAAGGAGCAAAGTTACAGTCTGGAACAGCGTACCTCCTGTAAGTGAAGACGCCACCCCGGCCCACTGTCGGATTTCTCGGTGTTTGTCATGGTGGATTTTCTCTTGGTTTTGGGCAAGACATGAAAACACTGAAATTCCATTTTTGGAGTGAATCGTGGTTGAGGGGGGAGGGATTTCAGCTGAATGTTTTTCCTCTTTTCAAAAAAAAAGTTCTGTAGGAGTCATTAAATTTCATTCACTTTTACCAAGCTATTTATATGCAAATAAAATGCAAATTATTACAGAGTATGTGTGATTTAAAAAAAAAAAAAAACAACTCTTTATAAAGGGTTTGTAGACCAGGCAGGGCAACCTTTAGCTTATTTCTCAAGGAACGACCTTATAGGTGGGTACATGTCAGAACTAAACCTTTCAAGTTAAGGTTCAAGGTCTTTCTGTGAAGAAGACAAACGTTAACCTTTCTTTGGATCACATCGATGACACATGAGGGGTAGATGCACCATCTTTTGAAGGCTGTGCGAGAGGGTGTTTCATAGTGGAGCAATTTGCTATCACATTCAACTGCATCCTTTAAAGAACAATTGTTAATCAGGGTAGACATTTTCAGTTAATTATCCGAGACTTGGTGCTTGGGTTATTGTTTTTACACGTATCTGCAAAAGCAATTCGCAGTGGCCATCCTCTGACCTTCAGTGTACAGCTTTAGATGGGAAATAAGGGCTTTTGTGCTTTCTGGTTGGGAGATTCTGAATAATGACTTCAGCCTAGTTAAGCAGCTACAGTGTGGTTTGAACCACATTAACAGGCAGCCAAAAGCCTTTCTGGTCTGTCAACAGCACAAATTCAGAAGTGAGTGTGGGGGAAGTGGCTGTGATGGTGGTGATGGCAGAGGCCACACGGGGCTCGCCTGCCTGATTGCCAGGCCGTCAGAGAGAGCTCAGAAGTATGGACCTTAACGGTATCAGATCAAATGTTTTGACTGATGGCTTTTACAAAGCATTTATTAGGCTGGCAAGTGCTAATTTGACATTGCAGTCCCTCTGTCTTTTTTTATTTATTTAATTTAAATTTTGGATCTCAGTATTCTCCTTAGAAGTACCTGTTGGCTAATTTTATAAGACACTGAGCATAATCTGGCAGTTTGATGTTTCCACTAACCTAGAAGTCCCCCATGAATGGTTTTCCTGACTTAAGTTTGCATGCAGATGGATTGGAAAGGAAGATGTATTTTAATGCTGGAGTCCCAGAATTGCAGCATTCCCCCCCCCCAAAAAAAAAAAATCTCTTAAAAGTGCAGATGCAAAGTGCCGGGTTTCGCTGCCTCTCGGGCTCTCACCTCCTGATTTCTTCCCCAGAGGTAAACCCCCTTTGAGGTGGACCAACTTTGACCCTCTGGAATTCCTAGAAGAGTTAAAGAAAATAAACTACCAAGTGGACAGCTGGGAGGAAATGCTAAATAAGGCTGAAGTTGGCCGTGGGTACATGGATCGCCCCTGTCTCAATCCCACTGATCCAGATTGCCCCGCCACCGCTCCCAACAAAAATTCAACCAAAGTAAGTTCTGCCCATTGCTTGTTCCGTAGGGAACAGAGAAAAGCTGCTTTTATTATTTTCATCTTTAAGATTTCCTTCTCCACGGCTTGATTTATTTCTTTGCTTGCTGATGGAGCTAAATTTTGCTGTAAGGTTTGCCGTCCACCTTTTCCATTAGCCTTGTTATTAACGCTCATTCTGAAACAGGCCAGCTCTTACTGCATTGTGTTTAACAAGGCATGTGACCTGCCTACTAATTCCTGTAATTATGTGGCTGTCTTTTCATTTTAGCCTCTTGATGTGGCTCTTGTTTTGAATGGTGGGTGTCATGGATTATCCAGGAAGTACATGCACTGGCAGGAGGAATTGATTGTGGGTGGCACAGTCAAAAACAGCACTGGAAAACTTGTCAGGTAATCCAACACACGGAGTAAAAAATCCAAGGCAGCCATTTCTTCCTCCCTTCCTGCAAACCACTTCCCCCTCTGACATCTGCGGGGACATTTGTATTCATACTTAGCTGTTATCCTAGCTAGCTGTCCAGGGGAGTTGAATATTTGGAAATATTAGCAAACCAGACCAGCTCCTGAGGAATTTTTCTAGAATGGACTTGTAGTTCTCATCAGAACGACACTTGTTGACCTTCAGGGTTGTAAGACTCTGCAGAAAAGGGGAACGAAGTGTCGAGCAGGTGACCTGAATGGTGTGAGTGGGGCTTCATCAGAATTATTACCCTTTGCGCGCTCCTGGGCTCCGGTCAGCCAAGTGTCAGGTGTTTTGTCTTCTGTGGTTTCTCCCATGGGAAGGCTGTCGTCTGGGATTTCTGCACAATGTGTGCGAAGTTGAGCCCAGTGGATCTGGTTGAGCTATCTGTTCCTCTCCCCTTCCTGTTTCGTGGAATAGAAACTGGGAGAGGAAATTGCCTATTAATTTAATTTGAGGGTCTATCTGTAAAAGGTTCGTAAGGTGACACCTTGAGTATGGTACATCGATCTATCAGATGACATAGCTGTTCTGGGCCTGTTTCAGTGGAAACTGTGCTCACGTGTGTAGACTTTTGCACGTGAGTGGGGGCTGGGTTGGGATTTCAGCTGCTTCCTGGGACGATTGCTACACCTTCCTCCCTCCCACATCCAGTGCCCATGCCCTGCAGACCATGCTTCAGTTAATGACCCCCAAGCAAATGTATGAACATTTCAAGGGCTATGAATATGTGTCCCACATCAACTGGAACGAGGACAAAGCAGCGGCCATCCTGGAGGCCTGGCAGAGGACATATGTGGAGGTAACCCATCTTTGAACCTGGGGACTCGCTAGTTAACTGCACTCCTCTCACCGCTGGTGAAAACATTTTTTGCCTTTGGATTTTGGTTTGTTGGGGTTTCTTTTGAGCAGGGTTGGGGGCAGAGTTGAGACCGAGTCTTTCTATGTAGCCCACGCTGGCCTAGAACTCCCTGCTCCGGCCTGGTGTGACACCACACCTGACTTCTGTTAGATCTGTTTTCATTGCAGAGCCTAGGAATCTGATGGGAGGCAAACTCATTTTTTCTTTTCCCTGATACTCAGAGTCTTAGGATAATATCTGAGGAATCCTAATTCTAGTTGAGTTCCTCTAAAAGATACGTAATGACCAGTTGTGAGCTCCAGAGCCTAGACAGAACAGTGTTTACAGAAACACTTGGTGAGCAGGAAAAGGTGTCTGGAAAGCATTAGCAAGCTGGAGAATCTGGTCCCGGCTGCAGGCTCCTGGGTCAGGTCATGTGACAGGGGCTGACCTCTACTGAGCTGCATGTGACCTTTTTAAAAGTGGCCAGCAGATGAAGGGGATGGAGGGGTACGGTGGTAGTGCTATAAGAACGAGTTGTTTCGCATTAGGGGTAACTGATGGGCTCACAAATCCATTGTAGGGTTATGGCGGGAGAATGGGAGTCTTAGGTTTGGAGTGAATTCTGATTCTACCACTCACTACATACCCATTCTCTCTTTTAATAAGCAGTAGTCCTCATTGTCCCAGATCCAGTAGTCCAAGTTCAACCTCCTCTCCCCCCTTCTGTGTCCACCTGAGTCTCATAGGAGTTTTTGGTTAATGCTTCAGGAGAAAGGCATAGGAGGTGGGAAGGGGAGGCTCCCCCAAGGTCTATCGTGTTGCAGCCTCTTGTCTTGAAGCTTTATTTCCATTTCGCCTTGTGTTGTGACCACAGGTGGTTCATCAAAGTGTTGCCCAGAATTCGACTCAGAAGGTGCTATCTTTCACCACCACCACCCTGGACGACATCCTGAAGTCCTTTTCTGATGTCAGCATCATCCGAGTGGCCAGCGGCTACTTGCTGATGGTAAAATGACTGACTATTCCAGCCTCCTGGCGGGGTTTGGGAGGGGGGTGCGTCCTGGTTTGGTCTGGTTGGCTTTGGTTTATTAGTTTTTATCCTTCCGTGACCGCTGCTGCTTGTTAACCACTCTTAACATACACGTACATTCAGGACAGAGAAAGCTCAGCTTCGTAACAGTTTTTAAGAAAGTGGCCGGTAAAGCAGTTCTCCCGCCATTTGTAATTTTCCCATCTTTGACCTGTATCGTTTTGCATGACGTCTGTAGTGTAAAGTTTTATGGTCGTTGGATCCAAAGGTGTCCCTTTGGGTTTGGAGTCGTGGGTGGGGGGAATGTGAGGATCAGTTCACGTTCCAATGTTTGGCTTTTGTTTTGTGCCTCCCTCCCTCTCCTCCAATGCCCGTCTTTGCTTCCCGCGTGGTCTGCGTGCAGCTCGCGTACGCCTGTTTGACGATGCTGCGTTTGGACTGCTCCAAGTCCCAGGGCGCTGTAGGGCTGGCTGGCGTCCTGCTGGTCGCCCTGTCGGTGGCTGCAGGACTGGGACTGTGCTCACTGATTGGAATTACCTTTAATGCTGCGACAACGCAGGTACTGAAGGAGCCATGACCGACGCCTGTGTGTCCACCTCCACCTGTCACTCGGATGCCACTTGCCTTGGGGGAGGGCTAGTTCTCAGTGGACCCCTTGGTGAGGGCAGGAAGTCTGCAGGCTTGTCATTTAGAGGATTCAAACACCCAAAAAATTAGCTAGCATTTGTTGCCCTCAACACAGAGAAACTAAAGCAGATACCTTAAAAGCAAATGAGGCCAATAGGAGAAAGGGACCAGGAACTAGAGAAAAGGTTAGATCAAAAAGAATTAACCTAGAAGGTAACACCCACGCACAGGAAATCAATGTGAGTCCATGCCCTGTATAGCTATCCTTATCTCAACCAGCAAAACCCCTTGTTCCTTCCTATTATTGCTTATACTCTCTCTACAACAAAATTAGAGATAAGGGCAAAATAGTTTCTGCTGGGTATTGAGTGGGTGGGAGGAGAGGGAGGGGCGGAGTGGGTGGTAAGGGAGGGGGTTGGGGGCAGGGGGGAGAAATGACCCAAGCCTTGTATGCACATATGAATAAAAGAAAAGAAAGAAACCTGATTTTCAAACACTGGTAGTCGTTAGAGCACCTAGAGGAATCCTGAGGACTTCATGAGAGTCTGGTTCTACAGGTGTGGGGACAGTTAATAGGGTGGGCGCCAAGAGCTTGCATCTCATTGGTTCCCCAGTGGTGCCGGTCCAGGAGTCACCTTGGACCTTAGAACTAGAAGCGTGCCATCTAAGTGTGACAAGCTGGAAAAATGTCAGGACATGTATCAGTGGTAGAAGTTTCAAGAACTCCATTTAGGGTTCCTTTGCAATATGGGTGACACTTCACACGGTCACCTCTTTTTCTAAAAACCCACACTTGCTTCCATGGGGTCTTTTGTCTCTTTTCCTCCTCCCCCATTTTAGATCATATTAAAAATTTACACTTAAATCATTACCTTCCAACTTTCCGCTTTGGATAACGGGGAAGCTCACAGCAGCACAGGTGGTAGTGAAGAATGCTGGTGATAGGTTAGCACAGCCATGACCTTTCCTGTCCTATGTGGGAATTGCCCACACTATCTGTGCTTCAGGGGGCCGCCCTCAGCGCTGTGATTTCTCATCCTCAGGACAGGACTGGGGAGTGCCTCAAGCGCACAGGAGCCAGCGTGGCACTCACCTCCATCAGCAACGTCACCGCCTTCTTCATGGCTGCATTAATCCCCATCCCTGCTCTGCGAGCGTTCTCCCTCCAGGTGAGCTTGCAGTGATGCTGAGCGGTGCTCTGGCATCCAGCATCCGTGGTCTGTTTTTTCTTGGCTTGGGCACTTACGTTACTGCTGCATGCCAGCATTTTGGTTCTGGTCAGTGGAGCAGGTGTGTTAAGCCATTACTCTGATGCTACCCACCCAAAAAAAAAAATTCTAGGGTTCTTCTCTTCCTTTCAGGCCTTATAATGCTGATGATCCCTGTTACCATAAGGATTTGCTGCACTTGGCTTCTTGTCTGTCCCTTCTCCTGCTGACCATGTCATATCAGTCATGCCCCCAGTCTTTTGTCTTCCCCAAAATAGCTCTGGCCCCCACCTAAGGTAGTCAGGTAGAGGTTTTACTGATGTATGAAGATGAGGTTGTGAGGTCTCAGGCTACACAGTAACTGAACATTGAATGTCAGGTGTCACTTCATGGTAGTGTACTGCCCATTCTGTGCCTTGGAGGATTTTCCCGTGGGGGTGGTGGAAGGAGCTTGCTTTGTACCTCCTCTGTTTTCTCCCATCCCTCTTATCTTTCTCCCTTTCCCTCTTACCCCACTCAGGCTGCCCAAGCAAACTCTAAATGCCCCACTCCTTGTTACACAGAGCGTAGAACATTATTCTCTCCACCCTCTCCTTCCAACTGGGCCCTTTCACAGCCAGAGACCATCAAGGTATTTTCTCCATGAATAAGCATGGAGAGTTGGTGCCCTGTTACGGGGATGGAACTATATCCATTCCAAGCTTGGAGTGAGTTTCTGCCGTTGCCTAAATGCTGTTTGAAACTCAAAGGAGTCCTAGAACGGCCTATGCAGCAGGTTCTCAAACAGCCCAGAGTGGTCTAGGCTTTGCATAGCTGAAGACCTTACTGAAGGCTTGTGAATCACAAATTCAAAAGCTTCAGCTGTCTTCAACCAAAGGATGAAAGGAACTTTGGCTTTCCCCAACATAGGATGTGTTAATTCATGAATGGCAAAGGTGCCTGAAAGAAACCATGCTTGGTGTCACTTTTGGCTCATCATACCTTTTCACTCACCAACAAGTCCTCAGGAATGTGACCAGGAAGAAAAAGTGACAAAGCATGAATTAGGTGGTTTGTTTGTTTGTTTGTTTGTTTGTTTTCTAAATAGAAAATCACCATGTTTAGTGCTGTCTTTGTCTTCACATTGGTCACTTGAGAAGAACCAATTAATAAGATTGAATTTCATCTCACTAATTACTCATAGAGAGAGACCTGAGCAACTGAGAGTCCTGTCCTAGAACGCTGGGCGTTTTAGGGATCCACAGAAGGAGTTTATGTCAGTCACCATTATCAATAGAGAGAGAAATAGTAAGTTAGCTAGCGAATGAAGTTAAGTCTGAAGCCGGTCTGAAAGTCAGTAAGGAAAATAAGGATGTCCGTTGGAGTTTACCCCTGACATTGTTGATACCACTGAAGCTCAGATTGCTGGTTGCACAGCATGCATCAGCTTGCATCCTGGTGCCTGTGCAGTAGGTTCTGCTGGGGAGAAATTGTTCTGTAGTCTTTACCCACGGGACCCTCTCTCCTCATTCTCTCCTGTCCGCTGACTTTTCTCTCCCTGTCTTTTATCCGCTCTGTTCTGTATCCGCTCACGTTCCTTTTCTTCTTTCCCTTCTCATTCTCTCCTCTCCTCTCTCAGTACATACTGACGGTTCATCAAGGCAAACTCTCCTTTAATGATACCCTATGGTGTGGTGGTCTGAAAGCTACACGCGTTCTCCTTACGAGGAGTAGCCTTTTAGAAAATCCAGTACGCTAAGTTCTCCCAAGGTAAGCACCTTACAGAGACGGAATGAATACTGTGGGTTTTACGGTTCTACTCCAGATCGCTGTGTCAGCTGCGGGATGCAGTCAGCTCCTGCTTTTGAGGGCCCTCCCTGATTGAGAATGCCTTTCCGTGTTAGTCTGGTTGACTGTCAAAAAGAGGGAGGGGCTGGGGGAGAAAATGAGAAAAACAGAAAAAAGTGAGTGTATGCAGTGTCGTTTTCTGCGGCCACGGCCATCGGAAATATTCCTGATTTGATTGTCACGCGGTTAACCGTTAGAGAGTCTCTCTCCTTTAGCGACCTGTGCTAAGTTGTGACCTGCTGTATTCATTGGTGTTCCTATCTGCTGGATGCTACAGAGCTAAGCATCCAAAAGGAGAGATCCCAAGGTGGTTCTCTGTAGTAATAAATGCTTTGTGAAATTTTTCCAATTTTGTAGTTTGACCAAGATAATGGACCCTCTCTCCCCTTAAAGAAACTGTGTCCTTCTCAGCCCCCATCTGTCTGTCCAAATGCCACTTCTTTGGGGCCGATACTGTACAGTAGAGGGGTGCTGGTAACCCAGTGGTAAAAGGTTTTATTCTTTAATTTTTATGATTATTGTATGTGTGATGCTGGGGCAAGTACTCTACATGCCCAGCCCAAAAAAAGGTTCTTGACTGGGATCATCCTGTTCGTGTCACCCCTGGGCCACTGTATATGGTTTGGGAGTGGAGAAGTTTCCTCTCTTAAGATAGTAAACTGGAATTGATTCACTTAAAATGTCTTAATTGCTCTTGGCCTTTGCACAGACCCTTCTCCCATAACCAAGAAATCCTTGCTGTTTGTTCTTACTACTTTGGTGCCCCATTTTCTTTTCAGAAAGTAGTTCTCTGTACATATATATGTACTAGACCGTTACAAAGTTAAGTTAGAAGGGACATTGCTTTGGGCTTCTCTCATCCCTCCATTTTCATTTCAGTAGACACAGCAAGATGGCTGTCACAGCTCTCTGATGGATGAGGCCTGGTATCAGAAATTCCCCCAGCCAATGTGAAAAGCCTCTGTGTTGCTGCAACCAGCACCAGGCTTGCGTAGCACTGCCTTTCAGTTTCTACCTTTGCCCTGAGTTTGTTCCCTACATCGTTTAATTGGTCAGAAGTTCTAACCTAGGCCAAGGGGTATCCTGAGGAAGTGACCAGATCTAGCATGAACTCCCAGTTCTCGACTGAGGGTTTTGCATCAGGGCTGCACTTGAACCTGGTACACTGGCTGACCTCGGGCAGGTGATATACTGTTCTACCCTTGGGGGTCTTTATTGGCTAATAGTATCTTTCAGAGGCAAGAAGAAATACCTACCTCCTGATTGCTCTGGGAGTTGAGTGAATTAACCACCAGGTCTCATATATCACCTCTCCTGGCTGTACTGAGTCATCTTGGACTCTGTCTTACCTGTTCTATTTCTTTCTTTGCTCCTGTCTGACCTCCTCCCCCAACCCCGTCTTTATCTTCTAAACCCTGCAAGACCAACTCCCAGGAACTCTTGGACCCACCATTGTCGCCACTCAGCCCCACACCCCCGCCCTCTCCAAGAGAGACTTACGAAGGAGGAGTTAGTACCTCACAGACAGAGCCAGTTGGTCATTTTCTGATTTTGTAGACTTGACAGGCAATTTATTATAGAAAGGCATCTCTCCGGAACTTGGCCTTGGAACCTTCACCTGGAGCACAAATTCACAGTTCCTTTCAAAGGCCCTGTGTGAAGTTCCCCTTGGTTTTGTTAGGTACCAGTTACAGCCAGGTTTTCTTTCCTTTCCCTGAGCCAACCTCCCAGCTTGAGAAGGTCTCAGAAGCAGTCCTTTGAACCCTTCTACAAGTTTTTAATTTTCAAACAATTTCTGGGCTGCTTAGCATTCTGGGTCCATTTTTCTTTTGCGCCTCCTTCTCAACAGGATAGCCCTTTCAGCTGTCCTCTGTTGACTTCCGCTGTTAACAGCCCAATTTTGTAATTTTTACCGGGTCAGCAGGAGGTTGACCGAGGCACGGCAAAATCTAGCCCCGTGTTTATTCTAGGTTACAGAGTGACTTTTGGATCTGTACTTATAATCACACACAGGAATTTCTCTCTGCTTAACTCTCCTTGACCTCTGCTGCAGCTCACTCACCCACCCCACCAGGCTGCCTATTAAAGCCCTCAGGACGTGTGTGAAATTTTATTTCAGGTTTTAAAGGTGGCATTTTTGATAGCCTCGATTCGGTTTACATATGAATTTTTTTATTTGAAATGTAAAATTGGGGCTGCGTGAACTCTTGGAAATGTTTCTTTTTGTTTTAAAATAAAACATCTCAAGTCGATTGGGGTTGATTATGTTAAGAGATTGTGGGTTCTGTGCTCACATAAACTTACTAGTGACCGGAAGGGTGTGAGTGACAGGAATGCGTGATCAAATAATCCCTTAATGGGGGAGAGGAGCAAAATACGAGAAAGCCCAATGCCTGCCTCTGCTTTAAGCGCTGGAGTAGGGGACGGTATTGTCTAGAAGCATCTTTCTTTCCAGAGCGGTGCTCTGATTAGCGGGGACATTTGGTGACTCTGCGTTCCTTCTCTCCGCTCCCAGGCTGCAATAGTGGTGGTGTTCAACTTTGCCATGGTATTGCTCATTTTCCCTGCAATTCTCAGCATGGATTTATATCGACGTGAAGACAGGAGGTTGGATATTTTCTGCTGTTTTACAAGGTACATTTTCAGGCCTTTATTGGTTGGGTACAGGCTCTGTGGACTTAGCAGGGTTTGGACGGGTGTGATGGGGGCAGGGGGCAGGGAAGATACAGGACAGAGATGTCTCCCACCTGGACATTCTCACAACCCTGAGATTGTCAGGCACACGGTCCTTTTTTTTTTTTTTTCTATCACAGCCCAGTCTTGAGGATTGCTGGGGGTGTTTTGTCACTCTCTCAATTAGAGCAGACCAAGGATGTCTAGGAAGAGCCCAGGTGTAGCAGTGGGGTGTTCGTGTTTTGTTTTAGTCTTGTCTTTGGGGAGCTGATGTTTTGAAGGGGCTCCTGGTCACCGAAAGCAAAATTAGCATCAAGCACCTGTTTGACGCCCTTGAACTCAGTCACGTCCACGTCCAGATCAGTCAGGATGTTTGCAGAGTCCGTGAAAGCTGGGTTTTCCCATTGGCAGCCAAACATGGCAGTGTACTTCGTCTTTCAGCCCCTGTGTCAGCAGAGTGATTCAGGTTGAGCCTCAGGCCTACTCGGGGCCTCACAGTGCCGCCCGCTACAGCCCCCCACCCCCCTACAGCAGCCACAGCTTTGCCCACGAAACGCACATCACCATGCAGTCCACCGTCCAGCTCCGCACAGAGTACGACCCTCACACGCACGTGTACTACACCACGGCCGAGCCACGCTCCGAAATCTCTGTGCAGCCTGTCACCGTCACCCAGGACACCCTCAGCTGCCAGAGCCCCGAGAGCACCAGTTCCACCAGGGACCTGCTCTCCCAGTTCTCGGACTCCAGCCTCCACTGCCTCGAGCCTCCCTGCACCAAGTGGACACTCTCATCCTTTGCAGAGAGACACTATGCTCCTTTCCTCTTAAAACCAAAAGCCAAGGTAACCTGGCCCAACACCAGACCCCCTTGTCTTTGGGAAAATAACAGAACTGCCTCTTTTGAAATTCATCCCATTCCTTCTGCCTACTTTTTGCTCTGTTAAAAAGTAACTGTGAGCCGGGTACAGTGGCTCAAGCCTGTAATCCTAGCTACTTGGGAGGCTGAGATTGGGAGGATTGTGGTTCGAGGCCAATGTGGGGCTGGTGGAAGTAAATGAGGCCCCATCCTAACCAATGTCTTAGCTGGGTGCAGTGTCAGGAAGCACAAATAGGAGGATGATATCCAAGCTGGCCTGGGCGTAAAGTGATACCCGATCTGGAAAAAAAAAAAGCAAAAGAAGGCAAGATGGCCCAAGTAGACCACCTGCCTAGCGAGCATATAGCCAAATAAGTAAATATATGGAATATAGTTGGGAACTGTGCCATACTTCAGATTTCCAAAAGTCAATCTATGCACAGTTCGGGGCCTCGTAGCAAATATGTCTGTGAATTTGGGTCACTTTCATTCTCCCTGAGGTTATTGAAAAAAAAAAGAACCGTGATGATTATGGTTTTGTATTTATTCTCCCTCTGGGAGAATGACCTCTCCATGTAAAATCTGTGCCAGTGAAAGAAGGAAGGAGCTAAGCTGATGTCTGTCAGGGGCGTCTGTGAGATCCCTGGGGATCTGACCTCATGCTTCTTGCTCTGTTACAGGTGGTGGTGATCCTCCTCTTCCTGGGTTTGCTGGGGGTCAGCCTTTATGGGACCACCCGAGTGAGAGACGGGCTGGACCTTACAGACATTGTCCCCCGGGAAACCAGAGAGTATGACTTCATTGCAGCACAGTTCAAGTACTTTTCTTTCTACAATATGTACATTGTCACCCAGAAGGCAGACTACCCCAACATCCAGCACTTGCTGTATGACCTTCACAAGAGTTTCAGTAACGTCAAGTACGTCATGTTGGAAGAAAACAAACAGCTTCCCAAGATGTGGCTACATTACTTCAGAGACTGGCTCCAAGGTAAGATGGCGCCACGAAGCATCACTCTTTGTACATGTTTCCGTTTGCTTGTGTGTGTTCACTTCCTGTGGTCCCCTTCTTCACTTTATCAGATTGTTAGGTCATAATGCAACACGTACACGTTCCATTGACTTCTAAGTGTTGCTTAAAATTCTTGCATAGACCTTCCGGGTCTTGGTTTTTACCTATAAAACCAGGCAGCTAATCCAAGCAAGTGACTTGGGAGCTCTGGAAGAATTTGTGAGCACACAATAGGGAAAGGGAAGGGGTTATGTTAGAAAATGACAGTGATTGATGGTGATGTTGGGGGAGGGGTTGATTGCTTCTGTTGCTCTTTTCCTTTTGGATGGTGGCTTGGTTTGGTTACCAAGTGAAAGCAAAGTGTTGATGGCTTTTCTGGACTGGTTCTGCCAAATGGTGGCCTACTTCACCAGGAGATTTGGGGTTGGGTGGGGATATACTTCAAGATTCCATGTTTTGACCATCTTAAACATTTTTAATAGACTTCCCTTATAGAGCAGTTCCGAGTTCACAGCAAAATGGGGCAGAAGGTACAGAGTTTTCTCTATCTGCAGTCCCCCAACTGGCGGGAAAAGTTGTCTAACTTTGCTCCTGACTGCTAATGGACTGAATATAAATGCACTCAGTGATTCTGAGAACATCTGTTCATTTATTCTGTGTTGACACAGGAAGATTGAAGTAGAGAATCAGGATAATTATCTACACAATTCAAGCAAAAATGCTTGCACTGGAGTGCCCAAATAATTATGGCCCCAACATTTTTTGGCTTCGATTATCCAAATGGTTCTCTTAATTCCCACTTAATTAGGCTTGTTTAAACACAGATTTCAGTGCCATTTTGGTCTTCAGTCAATACACTGCGTGTAAAGATTTGACAGTCACTTTTCCCGTGGGCTTGCCCGAGGGGTAAACAACTTGAGTTTGGCTGACATTGGTTCCGTAACGTTTTGTTCGTGCGTGTGCAGCAGGATTGACTTCCGTCTGAGGGCGGCGAAGAGGGCAACCTGACATGGTTATGAGTACTTTCTAACGTGCTCAGAAGGCTAACTTAAATTGTTCTAAGTCTTGGTTTTTTTTTGGTGTTTTGTTTTTCCATTTAGTTGTGACAACATTGGCTTTGGGGTAGTGAGTTCAAAGAGAACCAGACGGTTGTGAGGTTCCCTGCTGTTGCAGCCCCTCCCCACCCACCCACCCTTGACCATGACAAAGATGTGCTGTATGCCGCCAGGGGCTGAGCAGAGAGGGTGGTCATAGATTGTGCTTTGGACATTTCAGAATGGCTGTTAGGCCAAGGTTGGGAAGGGGCAAGAGACCTTGTCTGTAAGCAAATGCAGAGAGGCAGTGTTCTCAGACGATTTGGGGACAACCCTAGCATCCAGCTAGACCAGTTAGACCCATGCATGCCAACAGCCAGCCTGGGACACCAGCCTGGGACTCAGCCGAGAACTGTCCACAGACACCAGGGCTCTTGGCCGCTTAGTCATTTTTCAGGCTTCAAATGATTGATTTGGTCTTTGGCCGTTTTTATAAAGAAAGCAATTATCCTTGATCACCCACCGTTCCAGACCCTTGTGAGTGGTTTTTAAGTGATAGGAGCGTCACTGTTCTGTTTTTGTTTTTGTGGAATTTCCATTTAAACCATGTCATCCCAGTGGTCTTTCTCAACATACTTCTAAAAAATAAATAATGGTTAATATGGAAATATGTCTCATAAACATACATGCAAATGAGGTGAAGTGAGAGATAAAAGCCATACTGTGTGTCATGTAGAAAGGGCATTTGTTCTTAATTCACACTGAATAATGCAAATGGTATGTATATCATCCATACTTTTACTTTAGAGTCCCATTAGATTTGGACAGGTCCTTTAGCCTGGACCTTTTACACTAGAAAATAACTTCCAGTATTAAACGTTTATATTGAGAAGTTGTAGCTAAAATTTTAGGGCTTGCTGCAAGTTTCTTTTCTACCATGTGCATTTGTTGGAATAGGAACTGTTGGCCAAGGGACAGTGGAGCAAATCTCGTGTCTTGTTTTTGGTCCAAGTTCAGGTATTACGCATATACTGAGCCCAGCCCACTGTTACTTGAGCTTTTTGATGATTAGAGAATATTAAACTATTTATGAAAAGACTGAGCCATTCTGTGACTGTGTCTTGTGTCTCTGAATTCCCAGTAGAGTGAGTGGCACCTCTGGGACCAGTGGTGTGGAAGTGAGTTGAGCGGTGTGGCATCTCAGAAGTCTTTGTGTGCAAATATATTCTTAAAGATTCGCTGTGATTTTGGGGACCTCTGTTTGCCATCAGCTGTTGTTGGTACCAGTTACCTCTGCTAACGCAGTTCCTGCATTCATCCAGTCATTGTGGGCACCACATTGCGTTTGGGGCAGACTCTGGCTTGGGGCTGCCTGGCCTCAAAGCGTAGTTCCAACATTTACCTTCCGGGTGGCTTCACCAAGTACTTCACTCTCCAAATCTCAGTTTCCTTTTCTATAAGCTAGGAACAGTAAATCTTCTGGGGCTATCTCATGAGGTGTTGGTTAGCACTGAACAAGGGTACTGGGTGTGAAATGCCTAAAATAACTCGGTGCCCACCAAGTGTGAACGGCTTGCTCTTGGGATCAACAGATCAACAGGGAGAATGTTAAGAGTGCCATGTAAATTCCAGATGATAAAACTTCTCTCATGGCTTAGAAAACAGGGCAGGCCTCGTTTGGGGTTTTTTTTGGAGGTGGGGGGAAGCAGTTATTCCTCTCCTGTTTATTATTTCCCAAAAACAGGAGGGGAAAGGCTTTAGGTCATAAAATAACATCTGTTCGGTACTGCTCGTGTGCATGCCGTGGAGGGTTGGAAACCAGGCCATCCCGGTGGTCTCTCCCGCCTGCCTGCTCCACACCCACCTCATAACAGGACCCTCCTCACCACAGAGCCCACCGCCCTGTTCCCAGATCACAGGGGCACACAGCCCTGTTGGAAGGATTGACGATTGACTTTTAAAGAGAGAAAGAGGAAAAGGACAGCGCTCCACCACCTTCCCCTCTGCAAACCCCAAGTGCTAACCTGTTTTTTGTTGTGGTTGTTGGGTTTGGTCTTTGAAATCACCCAAGGCATGTCCTGAACTAAAGTAAACCCTTTCCCTCTTACCAGCCATCTCCAACCCCACACATATCCCGCCTGTGCCAGGCAGGGCTTTCCTGCACTGCTGGGGTCTGAGAGATCTACTTGGGAGGTGACCAGGGGGTGGGGGGTGGGTGTCAGAGAGAGTGTGCAAGCCAGCCAGCGCTCAGACCCTAAGGCCGGGTCACCAGGGCCCTGTTTTCTCTTTACAGCTGTAGCCAAACCATCAGGTCTGCAATGATGGTTTTGATTACAGCGGCCATGCACAGCTGTGTGTGGTGGGCTGGTGGGCTCCCCCATCCCCCCACGCCCAGAGCGCTCTTTCCTCCCCCTCCCCCAGGTTGTGGTTTGTCATGTATTCTCACAGAGCCTTCTTGTATTGGCTTGTGGCTTCCTGTGCTCAATCAGATCCAAATTTACCCTGTGAGGTATTTCCCCACGCTGGGGGAGGGGGAGGCTCCCCAGCACACCCCAACTTGGAGGGAGAGGAAGAGAGTGAATAGGTGTTGGCTGTGATCTTTACGCAACCTGGGAGCGGATCCCGCAGCTTCTATTTGCTCCACAAGTGGACCAGATGGACCGAATTGACAGAATCGTGTTGGCTCACCCTGGGCTCCAGAAGCAGCTGAGTGGCTGTTGGAAATTGGGAGCCTGAATGTGTTTTTGCCCCTCTGAGTGGAACTGCCACCCTTGGTGGCCTGAAGCAGTGAATGAGGCTGGTGTGTGTCTCCCTCTCCTTTCTTGCTTCCTCTTGTTAAAGAGGAAACTCTGTAGGTCTGATTCCTACCCTTGTGATCAGTGGTTAATAAGCCACCTGAAGTTCATTGGTGAGCAATCCAGGGAAAGTAGACTTAGTCCCCTGTCCTGCTCCCTGTCCTCAGCATACGCCACCAGGGCCAAGGTCACTCTAGTTAAGAGCTGTAATGTGTTCCACACTTTCGCCTTTTCTAGGACTTCAGGATGCCTTTGACAGTGACTGGGAAGCTGGGAAAATCATGCCAAATAGTTACAAGAATGGATCAGATGATGGTGTCCTTGCTTACAAGCTCCTGGTGCAAACCGGCAGCCGTGATAAACCCATCGACATCAGCCAGGTACTCTTGCGGTGTGTTCAGAACCTCCAGGGGAGGCTGTTGGGGTGTGGGGCAGCAGAGCATGGGCCAGCTGACCTGTGGAGGAAGGCTGGACTGCCTGTGATCCTAGCCTGTGCACTTTGAGGACCTGAGGCTCTAGGAGACGGCAGGAGGACTCTCTTGGCTCTGATCATCTCATCCCACCAGCTAATCATTTGACTTCAGGCCAGCCAGGAAGCCCCATGACCCCTCTGTCAGGTGGGGACCTTTGTTAGCCTCTGGTACAATGGCCAACAAGCATGGTGGAGACTCTGCAGGCTTTTCCACATGTTAAGTGCTGAGTACGGTCACCCTTTCTGGTTCTGATGCTCAAGACCACAGTGGTCTCGGTTGTATCCTTCAGGCTTGGACAGATGGATTTATTGGGTAGCAGTCATTTGAACAGAATCTGGGTTGGGTGAATGTAGAGGTTACTAGAGTGATGGGAGGATTTGTCACTTGATTCCTTTGGGTCACCCTGGCCCCAGGAGCAGACACCAGGTCCTGTCGGGTGACTGTCATGAGTAAACCACAGTGCATATCCTTGGTGCCCAAGTGGACACACCATTGTTCTCACTCCTGCAAGGAATGAGAGCTGTTTCTGTTTGGTAATCATGTCCCCCCAACTGCAGGTGCATTATTGTGACACTTCTTCCTGCCTGTCCCTCCCTTCTGATGCCTCAGGGGCATTTCGGGTTCTGTGGGTTTCAGGTGGCTGGCACACAGCCTCTCCTCTGCTTTTTTGTAGCTTTACCTTCAGGCTGAAAATGTCACGCTATGATCTTCTTAGCAGCTCTGTTTATTGTCTCCTCCTTTTCTGCTGGCATTGAAGGTGACAGATTTACAAAGTACATTGTTCAGAGTTATTACTGAGTGTGAAACTCGGTGCTTTATAGTAGCATGCATTGGGCTGTCACATTTGACGAGAGTGTGGGCAGGGGAGAGCCCATAGTAGGGATACGGTCAGCGAGCTAGCATGGGATGGAGTTAGAGTCCCAGGATCCTATGGAGCAAGTGTGGCTGGGACAGATCGCCAGATCCCGTCTCTGGTACCTGTGCAGAACGCACAGGGGCGGTGAGCTGCACGATGCAATTCCAGAGACAGTTTGAAGCCTTACGCTTGTTACGCACCCTGTGGATTAATTGAATCCAGATCCATGAAGTCTAGCTCTCTCCCTCTTCCTCTCTTTCCTCGTTCACTCTTTCTCTATGAACTACTGTCACTGGTGTTTTTCATTTTGTTAAAAAAGTTTGAACATGTTGGAAGGAAGCCCGAATCTAAAGTAAACAGGAAAAAAATCTTTTTCAACATATCTCACGTACATCCACTCAATCTCACAGTGTCTTTGACCTAAGGAAAGCCCCCAAGACCTACTGTAGAGGGAGCGTACTCTGCCATACAGGCACGGATCCTTCCAGCTTACTAAGTCTGAGCACCTCTCAGACATCAGATTACCAGGAAGGGCCATGGCCCTGCATTCATCTCTTCCACTTTCTGGTGAAGGGCATTTTTTGAATACACAAGGTCATAAGAGACTAGTGTGAGCAAAATTTATACAGATGTTGTTTTATTTTTATAGCGCTCCTCCATTTACTGGGTGGCATTTCCTTCAGTGTTAACAACAGAGGTTAACTGCACCCAGACGTGTATGGGGACTCTTGCCAGGTTTTCCCCCCTTCCCCCATAAATATGTTTCTCCAGATTGCTCGTTCCCTGCCTTGGCTGCAGACAGGCTTTTAGCATTCAGATTTAATTGGCTCAGCCAGTTCCTGAGCCATCTGCAGAGCTGTGTGTGCGTTACAAACACCCTGGCGACTGCGTCCTGCAGGCAGTGACTTTGTGAACGGAGTCGGAGGTGTCCTGGCGGCACTTTGGAGCTGTGGGCATGCTGTCGGAGAGACAGGTACAAAGCTCTCCAGGCCAGGAGTGTGTTGATACAGATAGGGCTTTAGATTGCATCCAAACACCGCTTCTGAAGGACCCCTGTTCTTCCTGTCTCTGCAGTTGACCAAGCAGCGTCTGGTGGACGCAGATGGTATCATTAACCCCAGTGCTTTCTACGTCTACCTGACGGCTTGGGTCAGCAACGACCCTGTTGCTTATGCTGCCTCCCAGGCTAACATCCGGCCACACCGACCTGAGTGGGTCCACGACAAAGCCGATTACATGCCCGAGACGAGGCTCAGAAGTAAGTAGCACTCCATGCCAAGGGGAAGGGACTGGGTGGGAGCTTCCCTGAGGCGCCTCGCCTGGCTGCTCAAGAGCTCAGCCACAGCCTGGTCCGTTGACACTACCCAGGGTTCAAAAGTGTAAATAGAACAATCCATTTCTTTTAGTTTAAAACTCCGGGAGACAGATGAGGATGTGTAATGGAATACAGCCCACACTCTATCTCGTTGAGAAATAAGACCAATTTCCTTTTGTAGCGTTCCCTCTAAGACGGTCATCAGGCATTTCTCTTGAGTGCCAGCTGTTCCGTGTGAAAGTCAGGGACGCCTCCAGGTTGAGTGTTGTTTTACTATGGCAGAGTTTTATCGCTGGGGATTATATGTTTATCTTAACTTTGTCAACTCTGGTGTTGAAGGGATTTTTGGCACGTTGGATCATTCGTATAAGCCACCAAGCACCTGCACTTTGTCAAAGCTGTTTAAACTGGAACAGGAAAATCTGTATACAACAGTCCTCTTCCTCTTCGTCTCCCAGCCTACAGTTTGAAAGGTGGTTCTGTGTGGATTTAATTTGCATTTATGTTCAAGATATTAGTAGCCACGTATTGCTTTGGGTCCTGGGCCAAGGGAAGACGTGAGAAAGAAGACGGGTCCCTCTGCAAACATGGCTGGGCAGCCAGCGGTTTGTACCCCAGAGCCTTGTGGCAAGCAGCCAAGGCTTGTCTTAATGAAAATTTATAGTTGAGATTATAATAGGGCAAATCATGTTTAGCAAGTCAACTGAATGACCCCAAAGGGTCTGGAACACACAACGGCAGTAAGTGAAAGCTTGTTGTGTAAGGATTTCATCCCCTGTTGTGGAAGACTTAGCATTGCATTAGGAAGAAGAAGGAAGGTTTAAGTTGGACAGATCACTCCAAAGGGATAAGAAAGTGCTTTTCCCAGCACAGCCTGGCTCTGGAATTACTTGGCTTTTATCAGCAATCGAGGACACCAGAGAATTTCCACTCGTGTCAGTAGAACAAAAAGTATTCCCCATATTTAAGTCCTGGAGTGTTTAGACTTCTCACAAATAGTGATCACTTCTGGAAGGTTAATCAGAGGTTAAAAAAAAAAAAATTGACCGTGGACTCCTTCCCCTCCCCTACCCCCTCCCCCCAAAACTCGAAGGTCAATCGCCATTTACAAATTCCTAAACCACGTATGAACGTTACCATGGCAGGAGGCATTTCGCCATGGGCCCTGTCCTCACCTGGTATCCTCGGCCCCCTCTGTCCAGTTCCAGCAGCAGAGCCCATCGAGTATGCTCAGTTCCCTTTCTACCTCAATGGCCTGCGAGACACCTCAGACTTTGTGGAAGCGATTGAAACAGTAAGGACCATCTGTGATAACTACACAAGCCTGGGGCTGGCCAGCTACCCCAACGGCTACCCCTTCCTCTTCTGGGAGCAGTACATCAGCCTGCGCCACTGGCTGCTCCTGGCCATCAGTGTGGTGCTGACCTGCACGTTCCTCGTGTGCGCTGTCTTCCTGCTGAACCCCTGGACGGCCGGGATCATTGTGAGTTTGTTTCTAAGGGTCTTTGTGGAAGTCAGATTCCTTTCAGCATAGCTCTTTCTGCAGCCGGGAAGTTTTGTTTATGTCTGGGGCTTTTGGAGGAGGGTATAGCTTGCATCACCCAAACCGTATTTATTCTACTCGAGGTAGTGAGGTTCACAGTGACGGGAGAACCTGTCATGGCTGCAGTCTCCTGTCCTCTCTGCTACAGCTTTAAAATATGCATGTGCAAGGTGGGAAGCTTTTGTAGGTTTGTTTTGTTTGTTGTTACTGTTTTTTTATGGCAGTACTTGGGTTTGGAACTCAGGTCCTCCTGCTTGCTAGGCAGGCATCTTACCACTTGAGTCACTGGCTCTGAGCATTTGTTACATAAAAATGCATACAGCAAAACTATTTTTTTTTTTTTTCTGATTCTAAAGTATCATTTTGTGACCTCAGCTCAGGCCCAGTAATTCATGGAAGATTCTTCTGTGTATTTGACCCAAAGGCCTACATAGAGAAGTTAGGACAGAGGTGTATGGGGACAAATGACTTTAGCAAGGTGCATTTGTGTTTGGAGTGTGTTTTTTTAACTCCTAGGGAAAATGATAAACTGCTACTTGATCATCTCTATTGGGGTTCCTTTCTCCAAATTACTCTCAGATTTGAAGTGAGTTATATGCATTCTAATAAAATCATGGCAGGGTTGAAATTCTACAAACCCTGGTGCAGCCTTTAAAAGTGAGTGCAAGATTTATAAAAACAGACCAGGTTTTGTATGTGTGCTATAGTCTGGGCAGCCGCAGGTACATTAAAGGTAAATGTTTAGTCTGCAGACATTTTCACAGCACTTAAGCATGGACATGGTCCATCTTTCCTTATTCTCCCCGGACCTCCACCACTTCTCCTTGCCCCGCCCCCGAGGAGGAAGGACCATTTTCTCCTACTCTTGGAATCCACTTTGCACCTGTATTTTCTCTCTTTGGACTTTTCAAGAAACTCCAAAGTCTACCTCTCAGATTTTCTTTCTACAAGGAAGATGGAACTTGCTCCTTGGACATTAGAGTCTGCTTTCTTTTCCCCAGTTGCTCTCTAGCTCTTCAAAGCACAGTGGCTCTGTAACCTGACACTGAGCAGCTGGCTGGATTGCCCTCCCCTTAGCCTGCTTCCCAACCATCTTCACTGATCTTATTGGCAGTCCAGCAAAGGCACAACTCCTTTTACCTGCAAGAATATCATTCAGCCAGGCGCTGGTGGCTCACACCTGTAATCCTAGCTATTTGGGAGGCAGAGATCAGGAGGATCGTGGTTCAAAGCCAGCCTAGGCAGATAGTTCATGAGGCCCTATCTTGAAAAAACCCTTCACAAAAAAGGGCTGGTGGAGTGGCTCAAGGCGTGGGCTCTGAGTCCAGGCTCCAGTACTTTAATAAAAAAAAAAAAAATTGTTCACCCTGTCCTGTTCTCTCAGTTCTCTTGAGGATGGAGGGAGAGGCTGTCAGAGACTCTTAACATTTCAGCTCAGTTATGAGTTGAAGGATGGTTTTTGATGCTTAAAATCAGAACAGAAGGAAAGGCCTTATTTTAAACTAAAACTGTCCTGCGTATTGGCTCTAGGACCCCATGGATACAAAAATCCATGGGTGTTAAATCCTTTGTGTATAAAATGTCATCGTATTTTCATCCAACCTGCACACATCCTCTTGTACTTTCAACCACCTCTAAATTGCTTATAATACCCAAAACAGTGCTGTAATGGATTGCTTAAAGCAGTAACAATGAAAAAGTCTGTACATACTCAGCACAGATACAGGGTTTTTTCACAGTTGGTTAAATCTGTGGCTACAGAACCCACAGATAAGAGAAATGGCCATATATAAAATTTGTCCTCAAGGTAATGCATTGTCCCTGTGTCTCCCTGGATGGCTCCAATGGAATATTCTATTCTGCTTTCTAGGATAAGCGTATGAAAAGCAGCTGCAGAGCACACTAAGCTGCACCATCATGCATGCCCCTCCAGCCTTACAAATTGGTCATCCCAAAGTTCCCCTTCCGAGGAGGAAGTAAGGACAGTTGTCCAAAGTTACAGCAAGTCAGTCAGTCAGGATTTGGGTGACAGGTATCTCTGTGTTCTTGCTCTGTAATGAGGCCACATTTGTTCCTTAGCACCCTGCAATGTTTGCAGTGCAGTGTCTAGTGTGTGATGTGCCCAGCACTGACCACTGTGTGCCTTCTTCAAGGTGATGGTCCTGGCGTTGATGACGGTTGAGCTCTTCGGTATGATGGGCCTCATTGGAATCAAACTGAGTGCTGTACCTGTGGTCATCCTCATCGCGTCCGTGGGCATTGGAGTGGAATTTACTGTCCACGTGGCTTTGGTAGGAGGAGATACTAAGCTATAGTTCCTCTGGTTTTATTAGTAGCAAGTGGGAACCTTTTCATCTTCCCCCTGCATCACAGTGACAGGACCCCAGAGCACAGGAGTTCCTTAGGAGGGCTGAAATGTTTCTGGATTCCTGTCCCCAAGAACAGAGACATGGAAGGCGAAAGCTATCTCACGTCTAGGTAGTGTCGTCTGGGAAGGATTCTGCTCATTTGATGTTCACCGAAGTTGTCACCTTTGTCCCCAGGACATACTATGTGTGTGGGCACTCAGACAGACAAGTGTAAAAGCAGTAATGAAGTGAAATTAAAACACGGCCATCCTCCCAGGCTTGTTGGGGATTGAGGGTGAGGTGAGCTGGCAGCCACAGAAACACATCCTCGAGCCTGTGAGCGAGGGCGCAGGTGCTCAGCACCCAGCTCTGTGGATCTCCCAGCCTCTGCATTCATGGTAACAGGAAGTGAGAGAACACAGGGGTTTTCCCTCTCTTGCCCTGTGACTGTTCTGTTGGAGGAAATTAAACTTCGGGAGGAAACTTGAATCCGAGAGATAAGCCCACTGTCTATTTTATCAGAGAATTCTTAGAAAGCTTCGTGACAAGGTGCAGGTCCCGCTCTGTCTGCAGGTGTGCTGAGAGCCTGAGTCCCTGGGGTTACTAGTAGGCACTCCGGAAATGGGTACTGACTGAGTAAAATCTGATTTTTTGGATGCCCATCTGGAAAACCTAGCGCTGGACGAAGACCAGGTGACTTTTAGCGTTGCCTTCGCAGTCAAGTAGCATTGCCATTGGGGTCAGCATTTGGTTAGGACACGTCTGTACTTGGGTTTCTCCCTGTGCCTCCTGCAGTCTCTCAAGACTGCTACTGTGCAACTTCAAGACTGTAAACATTGGTGTTTGCGAAGGAACGTTTTGTTGAAGTTATTAATGACCCCTTCCTGCTAAGGTCTCACTCTCCCCAGCTGCCTGATAGACCAGACTTCCACGCCAAGTTCCCTTCTTGGCCTTGCCTTTGCGTCAGGAGCAAAGGACACTGGGTTATCCCTATGTACTTAGGTCCCAGGTTTTCTCGTGATAACCTCTGGGGTTCTCAGGTATAACCACAGCCACATTCACTTGCGTAAGTAACTGAAATTCTCACCTCAGTGGAGTCCTGAGGAAATAGATACCGAGCACCCAATGGTGTGAGACCAAGGTGACTCAAGATCTTGAAAACATAAGCTAGAATACTGTGGCTTTCTCATCTGGAGTCTCCTGTGTGTGTGTGGCCTGAGCTACTTCAGGGCAAGTAGCAGGGAAAGAAAGAAACCTTTCTGTACATTTTGACATAGTTTGGGTCATTTCAGGGTTTGCATCCACACCAAATGTGACCCAGTGTCACAGCACTGTTACAGAACACTGTAAGTCTAGGTCTTGCCACCCTGATTGACTGAACATTCCGGGAGTAAATAGTAAGATGAGAAGTACATTGAAGAGAGACAGGTGACAGCAACGCCCAGCGTCCAGGCAAAGCTGAGTACCTACCACAGGCAGCCAGAACCCTGATCGTTGTCTAACTCTTGTCATTGCACAGGCCTTCCTGACGGCCATTGGCGACAAGAACTGCAGGGCGGTGCTTGCCCTGGAGCACATGTTTGCACCTGTTCTGGACGGCGCTGTGTCCACTCTGCTCGGAGTACTGATGCTTGCAGGGTCTGAGTTTGATTTCATTGTCAGGTAAGCGAGTGCATAAGAGAGAGAAGTCTTCGGTCATCATTGTTGCTTATGTCCTCCTGTGTCTGGTACATGACAGCATCTCTGCACTGGGACTCGACTTTCCTTTATGCTAAGAGCTGTTTCACAGTCGTGATTGTCTAAGACCTAAGGTGAAGGGGCAGTCATTACTCAGTATCCCAGACAGACGTCTCAGTTAACCACCCAGTACCTAAACAGAAGAGCCCACAAAGAGAGATGGCTGTGTTCCCATTCATTGACCTCACCGGCTTTTACTTCATCTCCTTCAAACCTGTGGGAGGGGAAATTCCAAACACTTAAAAGTGGCCATCACAATTTTATTCTGCTGAGAAGTGAACATAATGTACCCAGATTTCATATTTGACCTTGATGTCAAAGTTTGAGAATCCTAGCCTCGCTTGGCTACTCGAGCACCTCGAGGCAGACTGTTTTCTGGATGATCTATCTAAGACTGAATTTGTGAAGTGTAAAAGGAAAGTGAGTTTTCCTTCTGGAAAGTATTGGAAAGCACGTTCTGAATGGCCTTCATAGCTTTGGGAGGTGTAGCTTCTCTCTCGGCCGTAACAATTCGTAAAGAATTATCCATAGGTGACAGAGCACGGGCTTAGAGCCCTGATAAGGCAGAACCCAGAGTGAGATGGGGGTGCTTCAATCTGGGAAGATTTCTCGTGTGTGTTTGTGTGTGTGTGTGTGTGTGTGTGTGTGTGTGTGTGAGAGAGAGAGAGAGAAAGAGAACTCGTTTTCAAATAGAAGATTTTTAACTAGAAGTTATAGCCAAAGTTTGTTTATTGCAGACAAAAGATGAGTTGGGCTAGGGATGCAATATAGTGGTGTAACATGGGCTGAGTGTTCTTGAGGCCCTGGGTTCAATCGCCAGTACCACAAAAAGGGAAAGAAGAGTCCGTTGACCGGGCTGTAGCACAGTCCATTGGACAGTCCTTTGCTCTCTGTGGGTTTAGGGACGGGTAATGACTGCAGTGTAGGCCAGCACTTCTGACTCATCTAAGGCAGTTGGGGATTGGAGGAGGGCAGTCTCTGCATTTGCAGAAGGTGCCATGTGAGCCCACACACACCACCTGTTGATAAGGTGACAGGCCAATTAGGGAAGTCATGTTTGCGTGGACACCAGTGAGGTGTTTGGCCTACCTGAGATAAAGGTTCTGACTTGGTTCGTTTAGAGCGGTTGACTTCACTTTGACTTGCCTCTTACCCTACATTAGTGCCCCCTTTGTGGCGTAAAAGCACAATGGCAACCTCACAAGTACCGTTCCGCATAACCGCAGACCCTTCTGTGTGGCTCATGGGTGGGGGAGGAGCCGCAGGGTGTGCTGGCATCTGGTAGGTCAGCCTTGCTCGGGTGGAGGGGGTGCTGAGGGAGCCAGCACCCAGCTGGAGGCCTGGAGGGTGGGCTCCCAGTTCTCTCCTGCCTGAAGCTTGCTCCCACCCAGAGCTATCAGGAATCCCGTTTCAGGCACTTAGCAGAGCTTCCCGTTTTTGAAAAGCAGTGTCGGATAAATGAGCAGACGTTGTGTATACGAAGCCGTCTGCTTATGCTGCAGTCAGATGGATGAGATGCAAATGTCTTAAGGCCTAGCGCGGATCTGTGCCTCCACCGAAACTTCCAGCAGTTTACATTAGAGAGATATGTGGGCTGCTTGGTTTTTCACTAACGCAGCTCAGAGGTTCCTGGTGTTTACAATAGCTGTGCGGTATCCCTGTTTTTATAGGGATTCTCTCTCCTTTCATCTGAGGTCCAAACCGATACAGACATGGCAGCACTGGGTGCCTGCTGTACTTTACAATCTAACAGATCGTTAGCAGATAGGGTATCTTGCTCTCCCTCCTTCCAGAACATCCCGTCAGCCCCTCTCCCCCCCCAGCCCACTGCCATCAGAGCCCCAGAAATCATTAGTTCCAGAAATGCATCCTTGCGTGGAGTGCAAGCCCTCCAGCTGTGTGTGGAGTGTCCGCCCGAGGCTGTGTCTGGCTGACAGGTTTACCTTGGCATTCCTGAAGGATCGCAGACCTTAGCCGGCGATGGTGGGAAAGTAGGACTTCTTGTTCGCTTCCTCTTCTGCCAGGGTGCTGCAGCTTTTATGTTTGAGCTGGCTGACGCAAAACAAGAGTATTCAGAAATGCTAAATTGTCCCAACAAAAGACTGGCCCGCAGAGCAGGCCGGCCATTGTGGAGTGCCCTCGATCAGCACAATACTCCGCTCCCACAGAATGGCAGCATTTTCTCTGCAGAAAGCTGGTTCCTGTGTGCTAAAAAGGTTGCAATTGGAGCTATTTGGTAAAACTGGAACTCTGCAAAGTTCTCGGCGGAAAGTTGTGATTCATGAAAGCCTTACCTGATACGCTGGAGGCTTAATTAGAGATTCTGCCATAAGAGGCTCAGATGCCTTTCCCAGTGGATTAGCTGCCTGCAGAAGTGGGCCGCTTTTCCTCCTGGGCCAAATTGTTTAAATTCTGCACCCTTCACTTCATTTGTTTGCTTCTGCTGGGTTTTCACGGTCAGGGCCCCTCATCATTGTAGTTCTGCTTTGTTTGCTCAGCCATTCAGCCCGCATTCCATGTTTTTGTGTTTGTGTAACACATTCATAAATAACGATACATGCCATGAGATTTCAGCAAATTAACAAACTAATTTTCTTTTTTTTTTTTTTTTTCCTTCCCTTCATGAACTAACACTTGGGTTGTGGGATGTAGTGCTCAAAGTCATAAGGTTAAAAAAAAAAAATGGAGAAACACCAAAAAAGCAAACCCTGTGCTACATTCGAACTGTACATTTGTACCTGCCTTTCCAGTGGGGGCGGGGTGGATTTCTTGATTGTATTGGTGTTAATTTACAGCAGTATTTGGATACTTGCAAGGTGGTGTGATTTTCTTTTGTCTCACTGAAGACTCCCGTTTCCCTTTTATCCTCAAGGTATTTCTTTGCTGTCCTGGCAATCCTAACCATCCTGGGTGTTCTCAATGGACTCGTCTTGCTTCCTGTGCTTTTATCTTTCTTTGGACCATATCCTGAGGTCAGTAATTACACTGGGTGTAATGTCCAATCCACAGCCACCTGAGTGCTGTTTTTCCTACTCTTCAATTTAGATACCTAGGTATTTCCACATTGGCTGACCATGTACTGTTTCAGTAAGCTTCTAATAAGGATGACTTTTTTTCCTCTTCTGTTTGGTAGCTTTGAGGGGTGTAGGACTGGAGGTTTTGTTTTTCTGCAACCTGAGTCTAGAGAATATTTGTCCTTCACAGAAGTAAAGAGTGCACATCTCATCTGTCCTGGGTAAAAGGGCAAAGGGCAAGTATTTTGCTCCAGCTGAAGGACTACAGATGGCAGAGAGGAGGGAAGGCAGCACAGTGTAGTATGAGTGTCCTGACACAGGACACAGGGACCCCTGAATAATACTCTGCTTTGCACTTTTGAGATTGGCCAACAGGTAAAAGAACAGTAACACTTTGAATCTGGAATCTTCTTGAATAGGTGTCTCCAGCCAATGGCCTGAACCGGCTGCCCACCCCTTCCCCTGAGCCGCCCCCAAGCATCGTTCGGTTTGCCGTGCCTCCCGGTCACATGAACAATGGGTCAGATTCCTCTGACTCGGAGTACAGTTCTCAGACGACAGTGTCGGGCATCAGCGAGGAGCTCCGGCACTACGAGGCCCAGCAGGCCGCAGGGGGCCCTGCCCACCAAGTGATCGTGGAAGCCACAGAGGACCCTGTCTTCGCCCGTTCCACTGTAAGTGGAACACCCATGCCAGATCAGTCTTGGGAAGAAGCCAGTGTTTGATTCTATCTGAATCATATGAAAGTTTTCTTCCAGTGGTTCCATCTCATGGGGTGAACGCTGTGGCCTTACGGGTTGGGGATGTCACTCAGGAGCAGAATGCTTGCCTTCAATAGGCAGAGCCCTGGGTTTGAAGGTTATCAATGAAAGAGTGAATTGATTAAATAACTAAGTAAAATATAGAAGAGAGGCAGTAGCATATATTTTGGGCCAGAGGTAAAGCATTCTTTGCCCTTTCTTCCTTTTTTTTTTTTTTTTTGTTTGTTTGTTTGTTTGGTTCTGATAGCTATGTGTCATCTAGGAATAACTTTGAAAAATTTAATGAACATTTTATTGCCACAAGAGGTGGCTTTTTGTCCTCTTCTCCCCTCTGTTGCTTTTAGTTGGTACAAAGTTATTTTGAACTATTGTCTTAGACTGTGTGCCATAGCTCTAGTGGCTCCAGCTCTCATTCTGGTTCCTAGAGAGAGCATGGAGCTCTCTTCTTTCTTTCAGTCACTCCAGAAGGCCACAAGGAGCCTGGGAGCCCCTTCCTCCACCCCGTGGCACCCCCCCCCCAAGATGGTCTCAGCCCCCTCCCCTTCCCTCTTCCCTCCCCCTCAGGCCAGGAGCTCAGCATAGAAAAGGCAAGGGAGGGTCCGAGGCCCATGTTGCTCCACTGAGGCCCCCTGCCATCCCTCCAGGAAATGGGTATTCCAGTCCCGGGACGATCAACCCTTCTGTGAAAGAGAGGGAGGCCGACCAAATAACCTAAATTGTCCTCCTCTCGCCCCCCGTGACGAGGCCTGCTGAGCTGCAGTGTGAATCTGGTTTTGTTCAGCAGGAGCCTAAAAATAGGTACAAGCTGCACGACTTTGAAGTTGGTCACGGTCTTTCTGATTGATGTGGCCACTGTGCTGCTCCGTGCTTTGTGGAGAGAGACCCAGAAACCAGATTCCTAGCAATCGGACAGAGCAGCGCTGCCCGACGGAACTTCCCTGTGGCGGTAGACGCTGCTGACTCTGCCCTCCAGTCCAGCAGCCACTGGCCTTGTGCCACTTGAAACATGGCTGGTGGATTGTGACTTTTCTTTCACTTAGTCTTCAGTAGCCACCGGTCTCTCACAGATGCCATGCTTGACAGTGTAGGTATAGACAGACAGACAGCCAGGGCCAGACGCTTAAGGAGAGGAGCCCAGCCTTTGGCCTGATGGAGCAGGGTGGGGCCACGATCCCGGGAGGGAGGTGGCCAGGACGCTGTCAGGCCGCAGCCCTGCATTTATGGGCAGAGGCCATCTGCCTCCAGCCAGCTGTGCCGGGGTGAGCCTGGAAACAGGCTCCAGATACAGTGTCCCTGTGCCAAGTCCTGGCGCTTATTAAAGGGCGCTTTTTCTTTTGTGGGTGGAGGGTCCCCATCGGCGCCAAGCAGTGGGGGTGGGAGTTGGGGAGGAGGCAGGAGCACCCTGCCTGCCTGTGTTGACCTGTCCTCCCCCTGTGCAGGTGGTCCATCCTGACTCGAGGCATCACGTACCTTCCATCCCGCGACAGCAGCCCATCCTGGACTCAGGGTCCCTGCCCCCCAGACGGCAAGGCCATCAGCTCTGCAGGGACACTCCCAGAGAGGGCCTGCGGCCACCCCCCTACAGACCGCGCAGAGACGCTTTTGAGGTTTCTGGCGAAGGGCAGTGTGGCCCCAGCCCTCGGGACCGCTCGGGCCCCCGTGGGACCCACCCTCACAACCCTCGGAGCTCCACGGCCACGGGCAGCTCCATGCCCAGCTACTGCCAGCCCATCACCACTGTGACGGCTTCCGCTTCCGTGACTGTCGCTGTCCACCCCCCGCCCGGGCCCACGCGGAACCCCCGAGGGGGACTCAGCCCAGGCTATCAGAGCTACCCTGAGACTGAGCACGGGCTGTTCGAGGACCCCCACGTGCCTTTTCATGTCCGGTGTGAGCGGAGGGACTCCAAGGTGGAAGTCATAGAGCTGCAGGACGTGGAGTGTGAAGAGAGGCCCTGAGGACACAGCTCCAACTGAGGTGTGTGTGGCCATCCTGTGGCCCTGGGGACTGGAGGGTGCAGAAAGAGAAGCTCCTTGGGGTGCCCGGGCTGTGCCTTCCAGAGGTCACCGGGCATTGGCACCTCCCAAACTGGACTCCAAGCAAGCTTTTGTCCCCAGGGCAAGACTGATGTTAATGTCTCCACACTTGGTCACTCTTGGGGTGCCACTTCAGTCCCAAGCTGGGTTTCTTCCCCTCCCCCATCATCCTTTTGGAGATTGTTATTATTAGTGCAACTAAGCCAGGTCCCTAACAGCTTGACCTTGCTGTCGGCTTGCCAGTGCTTACTGCAGTGCCAAATGTGACAGATCTGCAGGTGAATTGCATCGTAAGGAGGAAGTACTGAATGCCACCCATCTTAAACTCCAAAAGTCATCTCAGCCAACAAACCCATCCCACCTCGGGGACTGTCAGTGTGTGCGTGCTAAAGGCATGGGTCCATGAGTGATCATAAAATGACTTAACTTTATGGTTTTCTTTTAAAGGGTGATTAAAATCTGAAGCAAAGAGGCCAAAGATTGGAAACCCCCCCTCCCCCCCCCGCCCCCACCTCTTTCCAGAACCGCTTGAAGAGAAAGAACTGCATAGAGTAACGGAAGGGTGTGCGCCCCAAGAGCGGTTCAGTGTTACTGTAACCAATTGTATTATTTTGTTAAATACTTCTACAAATATTTAAGAGGTGTAAACATATGTAACATAGGAGGGAGTGGTGTAGAGTAGTGTGGTCTGGGATTTCCCCGCTCCTGCCCCAGAGTGGGGAGGCCCCGGGGCCACCCCCCCATCTGTACATTGGTCCCTGTACCACAACCAAGCTTAATTTCGTCCTAAATTTTCAGCGTGTTTTGTTGCTGCTTAAATATTGTATAATTTACCTGTATAATTCTATGCAAATATTGCTTATGTAATAGGACTATTTTGTAAAGGTTTTTGTTTAAAATATTTTAAATTTGCATATCACGGACCCTGTGGTAGTGTGAAATGTGACTGTTACCTTTCAAACACGCCATGCGTGCTAAGTGTTTAGTGAGCAGATATGAAGGGAGAACATGTCTCTCCTGGTGGCTTCTCTAGGACTAGTTTATGCAGTTCTCCTGTTTGACTGTGTTTTGTGTGTGTGTGTGTGTGTGTGAGAACACGTATGTGATTTTCCAATGTACTGTACTGTGATTTTTTTTTTTTTTTTGTCTTTACTTCTTTTCACTCTCTATCTCTGTAACCCTTAGCATGGGTTCTGACCCAATCAGGCTAGAAGAGTCAGGCTATCTATTTTTATGGCTTTGTGCTAGTGTCGGGGGCTAGCCCTAAACATATACCTTGTTCTCTGGAAATGGCTCAGGTGCAGCCAGGCTTGCTTTGTGGCCGTGGAGTCTCTCAAGGTCATTGGTTGCCCTCCAGACGGCCCACTTGTGCTTCAGAGGAAGCGAGTTCCTTTGCCTGGTCATCATGGGGGATGTTAGAACGTCAGGGTGTGAGACAGCAGTCCTCATTGGGGATGAAGAGTTAGGAGCCGTGCCTAGCTGGGCCGTGAGTGTGTACTCTAGAAAAGTAATGTGGTGCTGTGTCCCCCTTGACTGACAGCGTGCACGCACACACACACACACACACACACACACACGCACACACAGCCTCCTGTCCCCTGGGCCTAACACAGAAAAATGTGTTCATTCAGGGCCTAAGAGGTGGCATTTTCAGTCCCTACGATGTAAACTCCCTCTCTTCCTAAGAGGGACAGCTGGTTGAAGCTTCCTGGGTCTGTCTGCATCTTTACAATGTAATAACAAGCTTCCAAGATGGTGACAGCGTCAGAAGTTCGGTAGGACATGCACACTTCTACACAAGTCAAATCGCAGGCTCCCTCCCTTCATTATCAGTGTGTTTTCCGTGTGGCATTTTTTGAGGAGCAGGAAGATGCAGGCACACACTCCACAGAACAATGCACACGGAGGCAGATCTCTTCACTACCTGTCCTCACTACCACCCCAATGGAGGAGCACCCCAATGGTGACTGCTACCCTCTCTGTCCTCTGTGGGACAGGCCCCCATACTGGCAGTATTGTGACCTCAGACCCTAAAACTCACTATAAAATTGTAAGGCACAAATCAGAAGCCACTTGTGGCTGCCAGATGTCTGTGTGTTCGTATGCCAGGGGCTCTGGCCACACCACTGCTACTGTCATGGTGCCTGCCAGCCACACTTCCTACCTGACACCTGACACTAGCTCTGCTCAGAGAATCTGACTCCCGAGCTGAGGGGGGAGAGAGAATTCTGAAGCTGGCTGCCCTGTGGCTCTTGGTGTGTCCCTCACTCCTTTCCTGAGCCTAGCTGGTGTGGCATGTGAGAGCCTGGACAGCCCAGAACTGTCCCAATGGCCAAGCAAGGACTCGGGGCTGGCAGGAAACTAGAATCAGTTTCTCTCTCCTCTCTCTTCTCTTCTCACTCCTCTCTCTCTCTCTCTCTCTCTCTCTCTCTCATAGTTTTATTTTGTATGTCCTTTTCATTCATTTGGATGTTTTAATTTTTTAAAAACAAAAGAAAAGGTCTTTGCTGATATTTATAATTTTGTATCATAAGAATCTTTTCCTACAGTATTCATCATGCCAGTTTGTAACCAAAACCTGCAGGGATTTTATTTCTATTGGAAACACTATTACAGCTATGTTTTACTTTTGAACAGAATTTTTATTTGTATAGAGTGCTTACTAATGTTAAATAGTTCAGAGTATATAACATTTCCATTAAAGACTCATGGTAGGTTTTAGTGTAAGGAGTTTAAAGGAAATAAATATTCGATCTGGTTCTCCTCTGCCACTTTGGGTGGGAATGAGTTTGTGTCATTTCAATTACAAAGATAAAAGTATGCCATATAATTTATTTATATGAAAATTTATTTTTGTAGTGTACATAGTAGTCACCAAGTCTTTTGACAGAAGTATATTTTTAAAGAATTTATATGTGCTGAATCCATAGTGTGGAACTTTGCTGAGACACGAGTGGGGGTACTTTTCATTGTAAATTCACAGCAAGGGAAAGAAAATGTTTTAACAGTGTTAAGGAGAGTGAGTGGCCGTCCATGCCATGGCGAGGCGTTTATTAGTTACCATTTGTGACCTAGTGTGGTTCTCATTTTAAACCTCGGAAGGTGAGAATGTACAAACTCTCTAAATAATTAATGTTCAAACACTGATAGAAATTCTAACATGAATAAAAATAATATAACTTGTTGGTTATGTCTGTGTCTCTGGAAGGTTTTTATTATGGATACCAAGGAAGTTCCTGAATTGCCCTTCCAAATGGTCCCTTCTCATCCCTTCCTTTTCTCGTACAGCACCTGAGCACTGGTGGAGTGGCTCAAGTGGTAGAGCGCCTGCCTAGCAAGCGTAAGGCCCTGAGTTCAAATCCCAAGTAGTGGGGGAGGGGGAACACATGATAGCTAGTGATATGAACAATTTTCGAGGGCTTATTGATAGCATTAGAACATTTTGATCAGCAGTCTCTCCGTGGTACACCGGCAGCAAGGGCCCTAGACCCAGATCGCTGACAGCCTGCAGGAGGGCTCAGCTGCTTTCTGTTTTTACACTGATTCGGCCAAAGCCAGCCACGTCCATCTCTGTACGTGCTGTCCATGGCAGCTTTCACACTAGAATGACAGAATCGTGTCATTTACAACAGACGCTGATGTGGCCTGCAGACCCTGAAATGTTTATCTCTGGCCTTCGAGAGAGAAGCAGCTTGACAGCCCATCTTGGGGTGGAATAGGCAACACGAGTCAAGTGTGGTCCATGAATCAGCGTACTTGGAAGCTTGCTGGAAAAGCCGAAACCCAATGCCGCCCTGGCCCTACTAAATCAGAGTGTCCGGGAACGAGGCCCAGGAGTCTGCTTTAACGAGCCGTCCTGGTGGTTTTGATGCACCAGCACGGGTGATCCCTAAATTCCTTCCAGCCGAATGTGGCCATGGTTCTCTAATTTGACTCAGGCTGCACAGCCAAGTCAGGCCAGATTCTGCAAACAACAGAGATCCTGACTCGTCTGTGTGGTCTTTCCACAAAAACACATGTTCCTCTGTGGGAAATAGTGAGACCTGTGAACTTTGCATTTGTGTCTGGTCGTGTGGGGAGACAGGAGGTCCCTTGCTTCTGCTGTGCCACAGCTGTCATGCAGGACCTGAGCAGAAAGATTGGGCTCCTGACCTAACAGGCCGGAGGTGGGGGAGAGCCACACCAGACCAGACCAGACCAGACTGACTGGGGCGACTTGCTTGAAGCCTGTGACCTCCAGAAATTAGAGACAGTGAGTGCCCCTCTTCTGACAATTGTCATGCGGTCTGGACCACAGTGGCTCAACAGAGTCAGCTGGCTGAGGGTGGAAGTAGCCATCTTGTGCATCTCACACTGAGTTCCAGCTGGCTCAGTCCCCCACCCTATAAGTCTGGAGAGCTCCCATCCTAAGGTGACAAGTGCCCTCAGATAGACACAACGAAGGTTGCCAGGGGACGGCTTTCTACTCACAGCCCTCTTTGGAGGTGTTTGCGGGAATACATTAAAGTCCAACTGAGAAATTAGGTGTTCAGGTAATACAGCGTCCTTAGTGCCTACTCTACCTGGAAAAAAATTAATAGATTGTTAAAACGAGATTTTAGTCTTAACAACCTTGTCTTCCTAGGTCCCGATGCAGTCATGTGATCTCCATCAGAACTTGAGAGGTGAATTTCATTCACGAGGCTAACTCGTTACAGCCAAGTCATAGGGAGCCATGCGCTCCCTGAATCTGAACAGCTCACTGGAATCGCAAGCTTTCTTACCGTTCAGTTGCATAGCTAAATAAGCTAATGGTTTTTCACTGTGTTGACCTAGGAGTTTTCAATCAGATTTATTTATGCCCCAGCATCGGCCATGTTTCCTCAGGACTTAGGTCTCGTTTTCCTTTCTTGACACAAGCATGTCACAGCTTGGTGTGCCTCTCAAAATTCCAGGCACGCAGCGGTCTTACGTAGATGTAAAGACAGGTGTTTGGGTTTTGGCTAGCTGGTAGCTGACCTCCCAAAAGGAGAAGTGGAGATGGGTTCATTAATCATCTACAAAGAATGTTTGCCAAGTTTTAATTGCTTTTAATTCGGGCCGCCTGTATGAAGAGAACATGCCTCAAACATGAATCTGTGTAATCACATTGTCATGACGGAGGGTGTACTGGACACATGTCTCTGCACATTTCCTGCAGGGAAATTACAACTGCCACTGTAACGACCTCGAGAAGGTCTTTATTCTGACCTGTTGGGAACATGGAGGAACTCACAACAGCAGGACCTATGGCTGTGTTACAAAAAAAAAGTGTGAGTTGTAGAGATGACCCCAGTTACACTTGACCAGGACACAGCATGGCTCTCCTGTAAGACCTGCATGCCTTGTTTATAGGAATTCCAAAAGCCTGCAGCTGAGAAGCTGTAGAGAGAACCAGCAGTATAGAGGTGTTACCTGCCCTGAGGGTGAGCCAGACCTCAGCAGGAAGCAGTGTCTCCTGG